GTGTGTGTGTGCGTGCGTGTGTGTGGGTGCGTGCGTGCGTGTGTGTGCGTGTGTGTGTGCGTGCGTGTGTGTGCGTATGTGTGTGTGTGTGCGTGCGTGCGTGTGGGTGTGTGTGTGTGTGTGCGTGCGCGTGCGTGTGGGTGTGTGTGTGCGTGCGTGGGTGTGTGTGTGCGTGCGTGCGTGCGTGTGTGTGTGCGTGCGTGCGTGCGTGCGTGTGTGTGGGTGTGTGTGTGTGTGCGTGCGTGTGTGTGTGCGTGCGTGGGTGTGCGTGCGTGCGTGCGTGCGTGTGTGTGTGCGTGCGTGCGTGTGGGTGTGTGTGTGCGTGTGTGCGTGTGTGTGTGTGTGTAGGTCCTCCAGTGGCTGATCGTCCATGCAGACACGGTTCAGTCTTTGCTGCGCTGTCAGGATCTGAGTATGGGGGCTTTGAAGGAACTCTCTCTGCTCACGGCCATCATCAGTAAAACGGCTCTGCCAGGTAGAAAAACCTCAACATGAGCAGAAAAGACCTTTTGGATCTTTTCATTAACTACATTGTTCTCATTTCATTATGTTTTGCAGTTTATTCCCTTTGATTCAGCGTCTAAATGATGTTTCTGTTCTGCTAGGCGTCCTGGAGATGGGAGGAGACATCAACAGCGCCGCTCTGATGGAGTTCCAGGGTCACATCACCAGATTTCAGGTGAATCACGTCGATCATGAAGGTTCCTGGGGTTCGACCTCCTTCATACAGACATTAAATTATGTCCAGGTCTGGATGAATCTGGTAAAAATGTTTGATTTGAAACTAACTAGATATAAAAATGTCAAACGAAGCAGATACATTTAAAAAAGTTTCTAATCTGCTTGAAAGCATTTATGTTTCCACTCAAGACATTTTAAAATCTAACAGAATCTGAAAACATGAAGCCAGTTTCATTACAAAAATCTGCTGAAAATCAGAATCAACTTTGCAACAATTTTTAATGTTGTCCTTAAATTCCATGCTGCAGTTTGTGCATCTTTAAAATCTTTTAAAGTCATGTTATAAAATGTAAGTGAAATGTGGCCTGTCACTGAATTTATTGTTGTTTTGAGATTATGTTCACATAATTTATTGACTCTGGCATCAAATACAATCTAAAACTGAGATGCATTTTAAAAAGCCCAAATAAAAACAAGTAAAACTCAAATAAAGCCACACATTATAGGAACCATAAATAAAATGGAAAAGAGCCTCAAACCTAGAAATACCACAGAGTGGCTAAAGTTCCCAGGAAACAGTCACCGCTGCTGTTAGCTTTGTGCTAACAGCAGCATGTTGTGCAACAAGATGGCGCTTCATGAGGTCGGCTCCAGTGAAATTTCATTGATAAAAGTCTTGAGTTGTGAAACCCGTATAAAACCTGCGTGGCAGTAACAGGGCTCTGGTTTCTCAGCGGCTGTGCCTGTCCCTGCTGGGTCGCCTCGCAGGAAGCGAACGGGAGCGGCTGCTGAAGCAGGCGGACATTTCTTCACCCGGAGACTCGGCAGAACGACGGGAGGAAATGGAGGCGGCCATGATGCAGGTCCGACCACCCGAAGCAGAGTCCGCCTCCTGTCCGGTCTGAGGCCATTCGCTGCTGATGCACGTCTGCTCTGTCCTGCAGGTGTGCGCTAACATCATGGAGTACTGCCAGACGCTGCTGCTGCAGAGCTCCTCCCAGGCCCAGTTCAGCATCTGTCTGTTCAGTCCGTCAGGCAGCGAGCCAGCCGGCAGAGACGGAGCGCGCTCAGGTCGGCCACATCGCTCCGTCCAGTGTTTTACTGCGTGAAATGTGTCCTGGAATCACTTCATTTTGCTTAAAGAGGCTCTTCGTCTTGATTTGTTTTGTTTTTTTACAGATCTGTCGTCCTCCGTGCCGTCCATTGCTCACTCGCGCGTCCCCAGTCTGGGTCTGGTTCTGTACCTGCTGAAGAACAGCACTGCAGATTTCTTCCAGTTCCTCCAGAGCCACAGGCAGAGCCTGGGGAAGCTGCAGAGCCTGGAGCAGCTTCCTCCAGAGGAGCTGAAGGAGGTCAGCAGCCAACCAGCTTACAGGCTTAAATCAGAACAAACCACATCTGATATGTTCTCTCTGCCAGAACCTCTTACTGATGATATTCAGTTATTTAATTCCAGAGGGAAAATTTAACTCATAATTCTCTAATTATTCTTTTAACTAAAGGTTATAAATTCAGATATCAGCCATTAATAGACAGTACTTTGATAACAGAAAACAGAAAATCTGTCTGATTTGAGCATTGATGTAAAAAAACCACAGTCACAGGAGCTGGTGAAATGAAAGTCATTTATGGGTAAAATTCAATTTAATGTTTATAAATTGGAAAAAAATCTGTTGTTTTTGTGTAAAAAATCTATTTGTGTTGCTACTTAATAGATCTTTGCAATATTTTTTCATTTCCAAAATTTACCTGGGAAAAAAACAAACAAGCAGATCAGATCAGACACACATTGGAGAATTTAAATGGCTCAACTTATTTTTTTATTAATACATTTTTAACCCACTATATCTCGGAGTTTATCTGGATATCAATTAAGTAACTTTTGCAATAACTTTAGTTATGAGTTGGTGTGATTAACAAATGCAGGGATCGGTAGATCAAAATTTAGTCTTATTTGTCCTGGAAATGTTTCAGAACATTTAAGATGCTACAAAATAATGTTTGTAGGCTTTTAAAGTCCTATTTTTCAGAGACGCTTGTGTCAGTTGACTGTGTTTGCGGTGTGTGTAGCTGTGCCAGGGCCTGGTGTCGGGTCCGGGCGGCGTGGAGAAGATCTCGTCGGTCCAGAGGAGTCTCCTCGCCAGGCGGTGGCTGGTCCAGTTCATCAACAACAGAGCCAAACTGCTGGCCTTGTGCTCCTGTATCCTTCTGGCTGCAGCAGTTCTGTTCACACAGCAACATTTAGCTCCGCCCACATGGCCAGGAAGGAGCAAGCGCTGTGAAAATAGTTCCCTAAAAGATCAGTTTTATCATTTGTGAGCTGGTTGCAGGTGATGTCAGAGAAACAGAACTGGTCATAATCTTTTGGGGTAGAAATGCCTTAACTCACTTCTTCTTCAGATGTTATTGAAACCTGTTTGTTTGTGTTGTGGCGCCATCTGGAGTACTACCTGCTGCACTGCACTCCCAGCGACCCGAAAGACTCCCTGCTGCCTGGAAGCAGTTTGTTCAGAACCCGGCTGGCGGACGGTGAGACGGCAACACGATCGTTGTTCTGATGTTTGGTTTTGGATTCTGGTTGTCGGTTTTGAAATGTTCTAGAGGCTTTAACTCCATAGGAAGCAGGTTTTTGGTTTTTTGGTTGTGTATTAAACCGTCTGATTTAATAGACGCTTTAAAAAAGTCTTGTTGCTCCGTACAGAACGCTCAGATTTCTCCGTACACTCAGATTTCTGCGTCTCGTCTGTTTCAGATTCGCTCGGCGCGCTGCAGGCTGGCGGCCGTGGAATCGGACGGTCCAGAGTCAGCCAGCAAGATCTGGATCTGGTAGGAAACATTTAGAGCTTTCATATTACTATCTATTATTTTACTATTGTTGTAATGCTGTTTTATTTATTTTTTTTATGTATTTGAAATTTTTCTTGCTGTCTGCAAAGCAAATTTCCCCTTGAGGACAATAAAGTTGACCTAATCTAAGATGGGGAAGGTGATATAATGAAATATTGTATGATGACAATAAGAATTATTTATTGCATCATTTTTAGGTCTTTGTTTAGGTGACTGTTTGTCACAGCATTTTATAACCCCACAAACACAAGAACAACTTTTTAAAAAAACTAAACGTTAAAGCATTTTACAAACGCAAAAGTTTAAGTGATTTGTATTTATTGCTGAACAAACTGGAGAAAATACTAAAACTACCATTTCAGAACATAACTACAGTTTTTGAATATCATTTATTGTGACAACAAAGTATAAATATTCTTATAATGTATCGTAAACAACAAATGATATGATGTCCATGACTCCGTTTTTTCCGTGCTGCAGCTGAAAGGTGACATGGCTGCAGGCTTCGGCGAGGCTCTGCAGAGGAAGCTGCTGGAGGTCGAAGGTCAATACAGCCAGGTCCACTCCCGCTACACCTTCATCCAGGCGCTGGTCCGCAGGATCCGCGGTTTGCTGCGGCATTCCAAGAGCTGAGCGCTGCGGCATCCCAAGAGCTGAGCGCTGCGGCATCGCAAAAGACTGAACGATGCTTCTGATGCAGCGTCGCTTTGTGACGATTCTAATAATGTCGACGATTGTTTGAAAGATGCACCTATATTTCTACTGACTATGAAATTTGATATTCTTCTGGTTTGTCAATGTTTTTCTTTTCTGAAAATAAATCTTTTCTAAATGTGTAAGATGTTAGTTTTATTACTTAAAACTAGAACATGAAAAGAAAAATAAATTTTTACAGAGACTAAGATCTTCTGAAAAATTAAATTACAGAATTGATGTCGATCAACTCGACGACATGAGGCAAAAAGTTTGTTGGTCCTGCTTTGACTTTGAAGATATTAAAGTTTAAAGGTTAAAAGGTCAACTAGTACTTGTTCCCACCACTTTTACAAAATCAAAATTACCTTTAAAATTTTATTCATATCGTCAAATGTAGTCGAGTTGATCGTCACCAAATCTGATTTGAAGAAGGTGGTGGAAGGCTGGTTGACCTCTCATGACCCCTGGAAACCATATCTTTAAAATGATAGCAGCACAAACGTTTGACAGCATTTTGCACCGATTCGAAGGTGACCAGTTTCACTCGGGTCGTCGTCTGGGTCGGGTCGCTGAAGCAAAACGGGGAACTAAAACCGTGTGAAGAGCCTGGCAAACTAAACGAGCCAGAAATGCTTTTTAAATATTACAAGATCAGCACAGACCACCGGATGGCTTTTATTTTCTTTGCAGGTAAACGTTTGTTTTCTTCCAGGGTGTAAAGTGCGTCGATTCTTAAACGGTTGGGAAGGCGATGAAGACAGAAATATAGATTTACATTCAGATTCATCACAGGGTTTGTGCTCAGTTGTCTTTGCTTTATTTGGACACTGCAGAGGGGAACAGTTCAGAGACGAGCAAAAATAACAGATTGGCACATTTCCCCTCCATGTTGGCGGCCATTTGACCAGTTGGTTGCATTCCTCAGCTGACTGCACAGGAACAAGTTTGTGCTGCATTCAACAGTCCATTATAGTATATAAATTACTTTAAATAAAAAATAATTACAGCAGTAAAAACACATTTACACTTGTTTCATCGGCTGGCTGTGTCTGATTGTGCTGTTTCTCCATCATCACTCCGAAACGTTAGGACAAACCATTTCTCTCCTCTAGCCATGGTTAAAATACTAAATTACTGTTCTGACACAAATGGCAACATAAATTTCAATCAAATACATTTAATATTTCTGATGATTTCTCTAAAGGACTTTCTGCCATTAGTAACGTGGACAGGTTCATTTCCGCAGTCGTTGCGTCATTTCCGGTCAAACTCGAGTGAATCGGAGAGACAAACAGGAAAAATGATGTAATCTGTGGAGATCTTCAATGTCAGAGTTGATATTTACTGGATTAGTTTCAAAGTTAATAAGTCTTTAAATGAACATGAACATGAATCCAATAAGTGAGCAAACAAATTTTACACATTTTATGTGGTTTGTTTAGGGCTGTCATCATCAGGCCTTCACTTCTATTCAAACTTATGTTCAACATGCAGCTGGGACTTTAACGCAGTAATTTCAATTAATTGACTATTTGTATTTTTGCTTGAACATTTTTAACGTGATTAATCACTTACATTTTTGACATACAAATGTTCCGAGCAGAACATGTTTCTGGGATGTCGATCAGAACCACAGCGCTGGAGAACAAAGCCGCCGCTCGCTTCATTTAGACCAACAAACTGATCTGATTGGACGCTGGAAAATACTATTGCTGTGTTCAAGTTGCGCTAAAAGCAGTTAAGATGCACCTCATTAAACTTTAGTGACATAAAAATGGGAGATTTTACAGTGAAGAAGCTTTGATTGCAGCAGAAATGTTGATCTTAACATTTTTTCACTTGGATTTCGAAATAAATACAATGTGATTGATTACATGTTTAACGTGAAAATGAAACAAGATTTTAACAGCAAAAAAATTCCATTTGGTTTGCTAATGAAGGTTTAATTATTTAAAGCACACATGCTTCAAATAACGTGATAAATATAGTTTTTAATCTGCGTCACATCCTGTTTACATTTGTCTCTCGTTTCAGCAGATTGAGTGAAGAGATGAGAATCCAGCTTCATGTTCTTCTCCAGCTCCAATCAGAGGGAATGCTGGGAATATTTCCCATGATGTTTAGATGTTCCTCCTTTTCTTAGCAGAAAAGCGGGAGACTGAATTTTTGTACATAAGTGAAGAAAGTTTTTTTCTATATATAAAAAGCGTTCTGTACAAAGAAGAGATTTACAGAACCAGCAGACGTAGTTTGAGTCCCATCCTGGACGCCTCCTGAAAGTTTGAATTTTCCTTTATAGTGCTCGTTTGAGGGCAGATGGTGCGTCTCGAAGCCTCTGCTCTAGTGTTGATTGTGCCAGAAACGTTTGTAATCCAGCACAGACAGAAACCCTGGAGACGGCAGCTTATCCCGTCGTTCCGCTGCGTCCTGGAGGACAGGACGTCTTTGGGTCCTGGACGCGGAGGAAAGTCCCGCAGCAGGCTAAGTGAGCGGACGACCCTCCTAGGTGTCGTCAGGAGTAGCTTCCTGCGCGCCGCTGTTCTCGTCGGTTTCGGGCCGCGCCGGCATCTCTCCGGTCACCGCCACTCGGATGACCTTCAGCCAGCGCTGCTTCATCTCCTCGCTCTCAGCAGCAAAGGTGTGGACAAACTTGGACTGGGACAGGCGGAAGCTGGCCGGCGTGTCGGCGTCCTCCACCGTGTAGCCCAGCAGCGGGACAGTGCACAGGGCCTTCACGTCCTGCAGGAAACGCCACAAATGTGATGTCATCCATGGAGACAAAATGCTGTTTGATGCACAGCTGCTTATGCTTGACTGATAACTGACTTCATCTGATGAATCAGCGAGAACCAAATGTTTCTGTCTCCAAAGTTACATTTGCCCAGAAGAGTTTAATAAAATGCTTTTTTTATGATATTAAGTGATTTGTCTTTACAAATGTGCACAAATTGTGTCGATTCTGTAATAATGTCAAAGAAACACATTTTGCAATTAAATAAAAAATAAAACTTAAATGAAGAAGCTTGTTCATGGGGTAAGTCATTAAAAACAACAAAATACATAAAAATCTGCCATTGTTGTATCAACCGTTCAGAACCTCTCAGGTCTCCTGGTTCTGGTTCTGCTCTGCATCAGAACCAAACATGGAGAAGCAGCTTTCAGCTTCTATGCACAACAAATCTGGAACAAACTTCCAGAAAACTGAGAAACAGCTGAAACACCGAGTTTAAATCTCAATGTAAACTCAGTGCTGCTTCTGAAACATTAAATGAAACATCTTTAATGTGTATTGATGATTGTGATGCAATGTTTCTCCCTGGTTTCTCTATTGTTTCTTATTCTTGTGTTTATTTTGTAAAGCACTTTGAACCTTGTTGCTTTAATCAACCTTATTGTTGATTCTGTGGTTAAGGGAACTATGTGTAGTTGTGGTTTTGTCACCTGTGGAGCTCCGTACAGGTAGAGCACCAGACACTCTTTCTCTGGGATCACACACCAGACCCGCTGCCACAGCTTGCCTCCTTTCTCAGAATGCTGCAGGAAGCCAGACATGATGCTGCTGTCTGTGAACTGAGCCGCCTCGATCTGCACACAGGAGAGCAGACAGCTGAGCGTAACAACATCACCGAACAACATCAGAACCTATCGGATCCGTCCTCACCTCCAGGATGCCCTTCCTTCGACCCTCGGTGACCCCGTCCCCGGTCAGGATGGAGTAGCAGTCTTTGCAGACTTTGTTCATCTTGTAGTTGTCGTATTCAAGGTGTGCCTTGTTGTCTGAGCATTTCCAGCAAACCACCTGGAACAACAGACCAGTTTGTCCCAAACTGTTCACTGATGACATAATGAATCCATTTAATTAGCATTTTGAAGGTGAACTCAAGGACAGGACTGGATAACCGAAAAGTTTTGTTTTGCAGAATATTCTTTGTTAAAATTTTGATTATTTGAAATGGAATGAAGAAGAAGAAAAAAAAATAGCAGGAGGAAAGCGTTAATGTTTTTATTTTTACTCGACTAATCATTTATTTTATCCATTGCTGTAAAAGGCAGAAACTGTCCAGCAAACAGTTTCTGCCTTTCAACTCCTTTTTTGTTTCTATTCTGAAGAACTGAATCTAAACTGAAAACTTTCTCCTCTCATTGTATCTTGAAGATAAGCGGGAAGAGCATGTGCTAAAAATAGCGCTTTAGCGCTAACTGGAAGTGAAACAGTGTGTTTATCATCAGTCGAACTCCGACACCAGATAATCAGGAAACATTAAATGTTCTTGAAACGTTGAGCTCACATATCCGCAGGCTCTGCAGTGATGGCGCCGCCGTGTGATGGCGTTGAAAGGCTCCCTGCACTTCATGCACATCGTCACTTCATTGTCACGAATCCAGCGAGGAGCCCGCTTCCCCAACTCAGCTTTCTGCAAAACAAAGGAGTCAGCATGACACCCAAAAATAAAAACAACACGGCGTCAGTGAGAAAACTTTCAATGCTGCGCTAACCGAAACTTCCTCCACGTCTTTCAGAGCGTTCTTGAACGACTCGTTCTTCTGCTGGAAGATGTCTATGGTCTCCCGGAAAGCCTGAGCGATAAGACAACAAACCAAATGAGCTTTTAAAAAGTTATGGCAAAACAAAGAGAGGAGGAGAGGCGAGTCTGTACCTTGATCCATCCCGCCTTGTCTTGCTCTGAGCTGAGGGAAGAAAACAGGACAGAATATGTGAAACCAAAGCTTCGTTTTACTTTAAACGGTTCCTACATGCTGTATGAAACATATGTCTGTGTATTCAGTGACCCTGACCGTCTACATAACAACATATTGTCATATTCTGTTATTCTAACAACAAATGATAACATTCTGAGCAAAAAGCACTTAAATAATTATTTAATCAGCAACGACAATACATTTCTGAAACAAAAGCAACCAGACCCTTTGAATATATTTCACGATTTGCATTAATAATCATAATTATTATGTAATACCATGAGCTGTTTTTGCAAAAGAAACACAAGGAGAATTTCATAGCATCTCTAAAATGTGCAAAAGTTCCAACCTTTAAGCATACATTTCATTAAAATGATTTAAAATAAAGGCCGGATTCATCAACACAGCCATAAGTTTCCAGACTTTTAATTCACTCATATTTGAATTACTGAATGAATTCCCCCGCTGTGAGGAGCTGCAACGTTTTTCGCTCACCTGGCCTGGAGCTCCAGCGTCCGTTCTTTACCCGACACCTGGAAGGTGTGAGGATGATCCTCGTTGCTCGTTTCCAGAACCTTCATGCCGTCGATCCCGATCCGGGTCCGCACCGTGTATTTGGGTCCGCCCAGGCTGAATTTAGGCACGCAGTACAACAGCATGTTGTTGAACTGGAGGCACAAAGCACAGAGTGAATTATTGTCCTGATAATAACTGCTTCATATCAATAACAGGGACATTTCTACAGGTTTTCCACACACAGAAAGGAGCGACGATTATGAAATTATACATTTATTTACTTTAAAAGAAGAATATTTTCCTGCTGCACTCTGTGTGTATCTGTGTGTTAGAGGTATAAATAAGGAGAGAATTGCAATTATTATTCCAACAAATTCTGAATCGATTTTGAAAAACGTTGAAGTTGAATGTCTGCTGTTCCTGTTTGCAAGTAAACTGCACCTGGCGTCACGCCTGCATGCAGCTACACTGACCAAATCCTCCTAATTCATGTTCAGGATTTTATGCACAAATCTATTGTTGTGTAGATATAATCTAAAGACATTTATACACTATGGTTACGATGATTAGAGTCTTTTTAACTCAAAAAAAGAGGAGTAAATTTCCACCCCAAAAAATCTGAAATACTGATGTTATATAAAAAATTTGGACATTTCTGAGCTTGAAAAGTTGAACGATTTTCTAGAATAAACAGGCAGTTCTGAAATTCAGGAAAGATTTCAGAAACTTTTTAGGAAATAAATTAGATGATTTTTATTCAAAAAGCCAAACATTGAAAAAAAAAATAGAAAATTTAAAAGATGAAAATTCACAAAAAAAAGTTTTAGCGCGTGCGTGTGTGAGTGAGTGTGTGTGTGTGTCTGTGTGTGTGAGTGAGTGTGTGTGTGTGTCTGTGTGTGTGTGTGTGTGTGTGTGTGCGTGTGTGTGTGTGTGTGTGTGCGTGTGTGTGTGTGTGTGTATGTGTGTGTGTCTGTGTGTGTGTCTGTGTGTGCGTGTGTGTGTGCGTGTGTGTGTGTGTGTGTGTGTGTGTCCTCACCAGGAACAGGTATCTGTCCATGGTGGAGGTGTTCCTGGCTGCCAGCTTCATGATGTGACCCTCCTTGATGAATTCGTTGGATGGATGAACGATGTCCTCCTCTTCACCCAGCATCTCGTAAATCTCCATCAGCTTCTTCAGGTTTTCCTGAACAGTTAAAGGAAGTTTGATTTTGCTCCAAACTGGACAGATTTTCTACCTGCAGAGTAGGAAACCTGCTCCGCTACTTACAGATTTCCTAATGGCGCTGTTGGAGTGGGTGGCTGCTGTGGCGATGATTTCTAATGATTCTGGAAAACAAAATTTGCATTTCAACATTTCCTCCTTCCTCAGAAACACATTCATAAACAGCAACAAGGTGGAAGAAACATTTGTTAGTAATATTGGCCCAGTTTTGGCACTTCTGCGAAGAAGTGCCAAATTTTTCTAACCTACGATTAGAAAAAAAGATTCTGATTTTTGATTAAAATTTTGAAAAAAAAAATCTAAATTCTGATACAAAAAAGTCAAAATTCAGAATTTGAAAATATTAAGAGAAAAATTGTGACTATCTGATAATTATGACTTTGAAAGTTTAAATATTGACTTTAATCCTCAGAATGAAAACTTTCCATCTTTAAAACTCAGAATTATGATTTTCAAAGTTGAAATTATGACTTTCATTCTTGAAAAAAAATTCCAGTGTGCCTTTTATTTTTTCATTTATGGCAGAAATGGGCTTCCTTAAAGAAATGTACTCATCTGGCCGATACCCATAGAGAGAAAATGCAACCCCTGCTTACAAGAATCCTCTGAAAGTGAAGAATAATAATTCAACAGAAAAATGTAGAAACATGATCAGAAAGTCTGAAGTTCTTCTGATCAGGACGAGTTTGAACGTTCGTTCTCTCCAGATTGCAGCAGATGAAGGTGGATTTTAACGTACTTTCTGCGTCGCTGCGGTCCGGGTCGTTCTGAGGAAGCTTCTTCAGGTAATCCTTCAGCAGCATCTCGTATCGGGGAACTCTCTGCACCGGCTCCAGCATGTGATGCTGCAGCGTCAGGCTGCCGCAGATCTCCAGACTCTGTCCACAAACCAACAGGAAGCTTCTTAACGTCAGACAGAAATGTTTCCGCCCAGAGCGGAGCGGCGCAGGTTTACCTGAATCTCCTGAATGACGGCCTTGAACGGCGGCGAGCGGTCGCTCCACTGCTTCAGCAACTCCATGGCCTTGTCGAAGTTCTTCACGTACTCGGCGTACATTTTGAGGAAAGGGGTCAGTTTCTGCAGGATGTCGCCGATCCGCGGTGTGGACGTCCTGCGGCGCAGCAGGAAGGCTCAGATTATTGGAAAACACAACAAACACCAAAGCATTTCCCTCCTAAATCAAACTGAATTTTATAATTACCAAAATGATGCAAAATGATGTTTTCATATTATTACTGAGTGAAGCTGAATTTCGCTCCAGATCAGATCACACTCAGAATAACCAAATATATGTTTGTTTATATATTTTGACAGATTACAATTCACACTCTGACCACCAGGTGGCGACATTTTCACCTTTACGCACTTCGCAGACATAAATAAGTCTGGCTGTTATAAAAACTAATATCTCCACCACATTTTGTAAACATGGGTGTCCAAAGTGTGGAGTGGTTTGGGCCGTTAGTGACAAAAACTCAAGCAGTTTGAATTGAGTTAGTTTCAGGGTCTGTAATTAGTTAATCATATTTTAATTGGCAAAATAAGCAACATTTTCAATGAAAAAAACATTTTTAAATAGATATATGAGCTCAACAAACAAAGACATCATTTTAATCTGTTCTTCAGCTATCAGCCTGGAGCAAAGTGTTTTTCTATCTGTTCATCTTTACAAAGTTTCTCTGATGATTCATGGAGATTCTTTACAAATGAGGACACTAGCATTAGCATTAGCTGCTACATGTTTAGCATTGAGGTTAGGCTTAAATAGCTTCATTCTTCCAGCGTAATCAGATCGTTAAAATAGTAATTAACCCCTTGTGGCCAAGAGAAGCAGCTTCCATCGCTGCTGTTGCAGGATGCAACCTGTGCGTCAGGTTAATAGGCGTACCAGAAACACACAAATACAAAGGTTCAAGATGTAAAAAAAAAAGAAGAAGAAAGACAAAACATGTGACTAATTGTGTTAATATTTTAAATTCCAGGCCATGGTTTCTGTCTGACCTGTTGTGTGTCCAGGTCTGATCGCGGGAACCTACCATTCCCCCATGCGTTTCTCCAGATCAGGGAGCAGAAACTGGCTGTGGAAGGCGTGGATGGAGGTGATGTTGGAGAAGATGTTCTTCACCACATCCAGAGGGAAAGTGCCTTTATTCGCCTCCTCCATCATCTTGGTGCAGAATACCTGCAGAGCCACGCACGCGGTTAGGGATCAACAACTTTGTTTCTCTGTCGACTGAAAACAGAAGTGAGACGGAGATTTGGGCGAGTTCCTCACCTGGTCCAGCAGGTTGAGTCGGGCCACATACGCCTTCTCTGTGTGCAGCAACTCGCTGGCGATCTTAAACAGCTTCTGCTCGTTCGTCTCCTGAGAAGAAAGAAGACATTTCTATTAATGGGACAGTTTAAACATCACAGCCCTGCAGGAACCAGGAAGTAGAATCTGTTTCTGAAAGCGTTGCTGTGAGGCTCCAGCTGAGCCAGATCCACCAATCAGCAGCCCAATAAGTTCTGGTTCTTTCAGAACAGGAAATGAAAACAGGGAATAAGGGAAACGACACCAGAAACATCAAAAACACAACGAGCTAACAATGAGTGAGAAGTCAGCTGCTGTCACAGACAACAACAGAGGCCTGACAAAGTGATGGTGTTGCATTCTGGGAAGTGGAGATTTCATAAGGTGCAGAGCCACAAAAAGGAACCATCTTCCTTTTTAAAGCTGGTCAGAAACCTGAGAACAACGAGCCACACGCTTCCTCAGAACCACTGGTCTGTCGTGAATTCAGCTCAAACACATTTCAATGAACCAACAGCTGCTGGTTTTATCGTGCAAAAGAAACTAAACTGCAACTTCTCTGCTGGGAAACAGCAACAAGTGGGAAAGGTCAAGAGTTTTCATTTTAAACCCATGAAATATTATCAACCGTCTCACTGCTGATAAATAAATAATCAAAGCACTTCCTTAAACACGAGAAATGATGTTCAGTAAAATATTTGTTAACTTGGCAAATTTGCTTCAATAGCAGTAAAAACTTTAGGATTATATTAGTGATTGATAATTCTGCTCATACGTCACAGTTAGGAAGGAAGCAGCATTTCCTCCAGATGTAGCGAAGGCCATGACGTCCAGAGACACCCAGAGACGTCTAGAGACGCCCAGAGACATCCAGAGACGCCCAGAGACGTCCAGAGACGTCCAGAGACGCCCAGAGACGCCCAGAGACGTCCAGAGACATCCAGAGACATCCAGAGACGTCTCCAGACGCCCAGAGACGTCCAGAGACGCCCAGAGACATCCAGAGACGCCCAGAGACGTCCAGAGACGCCCAGAGACGTCCAGAGCATCCAGAGACGTCCAGAGACGCCCAGAGACGCCCAGAGACGTCCAGAGACGTCCAGAGACGCCCAGAGACGTCCAGAGACGCCCAGAGACGCCCAGAGACGTCCAGAGACGTTCAGAGACGCCCAGAGACGTCCAGAGACGCCCAGAGATGTCCAGAGATGTCCAGAGACGCCTAGAGACGTCCAGAGACGCCCAGAGACGTCCAGAGACATCCAGAGACGTCTCCAGACGCCCAGAGACTCCTGGAGACGTCTCCAGACGCCCAGAGCCGTCCAGAGACGCCCAGAGACGTCCAGAGACGTCTCCAGACATGCATGCCTTTGTTTCTGTTGACAAACTGAAATGTGTGACTCTTTTGGAGGGATTGATTCTTCCTCGCTGAACGGCCTGCCGGCCCACATCGTTACTCTGAGGATAAACCAGCAGCACCTCACTGAGGTTCAGCCTTTTGCTCTGAGGTCAATCTGAGGTCACAGATGGAAGTCAACCTATCAGACGTCTCCAAAGCCATGACATCATCTTCTGGGCTTGGCTTTGTTGTTTAAAGAGACAGTAACGATTCAGAAGATGTTGAATGAATCGTTCATTATTGTGACGTTTGGTCTAATTTCAGACAGAGATAAAAAATGTTAAGTATATTTTCATAAGGCGTCTCGGCGCCTGCCTGTAACGTCTTTCACTCGTCTGCTTCTCGCCTTTCACACTTTTAAACACTTCTTGTTTTTACTTAAAAAAATTATTTAACCACCATAAAATACAAGCTTGAAGAAAGTAGAAGGAAATATTAGAAAATATGACTTATACTCTATGAATCAGACTCTGTCAGTTTCAGAGTGAAATCTGTGTCTCATAATTAACTCTGGAGCCGAGCGCTAACCCACTGAACATTGATTGACCTCTTGACTTGGTGCTAACAGAACGACTTAAGCCTGTTGTTTACTGTCGCTGCTCAAACGGCTTATCTGGTATCACTTCCACACATCCATGCAGGTCCAGCATGGAGTCTGTTCTGCTGTGAAACCCGGTGAGGTTACTGGTTTCAGGAAGGTCTGTACAAGAAATTCACTTTGAATTCACTGGAAAATTCTTCCTCTCACTCGGACGTCAATCATTTTTCCACTATTGGCTCAGATTTGCAGTTCAAATAGAGAAAAATCTGTTTTTTCTTCCATAAAAATCTGAATTTTTGTATAAAATCAACTTGTTTAAATTAAAAATGGGCATCAGTGGAAGAATAACTGGATTAAAGTGAATGTAGGATGTCGGGCTATATAAGAATTATTTATTACTTTTTAAAAACTTTTTAGGTAATTTCAGTCACAGCCACACAAACACAAATTATTCATGATTCGCTTCTTTAGGACAACAGTCACATGAACAAGGAACTGAATTTAATCATATTTCCAAATGTATCACTATTAATTGATATAGTTTTATGGGAAAAAACAGCAGTAAAAAAAAAACAGTTTTAAAGGTTTTTAAACATCAATTGAAATAAATAATAATAAAATCTCATTTTAATAAGAAATTTATGATGGTGGTTGTTTATAAAGCTGCAACTAGAATCATATTCAACACATTACACTGAGAGTCAAGACAGTAATTATTTCAGCTCCTTTGAATCACTGAACTCAGGCGTTTCGATCGCCTTCAGAGCTACAGGTGTATAAATCCAGCCTCCAAACACGCAGACGCATCGCTCAGTCAAAACAAAAAAAACATCCAGAGTAAAGGTCGAAGGTCACAGGCAAAGCACCTGGAACCAGAAACAAGGAGTCGCTGTGAGGAGCTCAGGATGAGGATCACCTGTCTAACACCTCCAGAAATGGCTGTTTGTGTTTTAAAAGGAAGAAAAAACGACTGGGTCTCCAAAACTACAAGAGCTGGGAGTCGACAGCTGCAGAGCTGCAAACGTCAACATCAGCTCAAGGACAAAGCACAGGTTTCTTAACAGAATGGATTACAATGCTGAAAAGCACTAAACTGCTATGTGTAAAGTTTGGTGGAAGGAGGATCTGTTCGTCAGAGCTTAGTCCCAGTCTGTGAGTTGCAGTGACAGGAACTCTGTCCAAAAGGTTTCTGCTTGCTGAAGCGTTCAGTTTCCTTACAGCTGCAAACAGTTCAGGGAATTTCCTTCCCTGTTCCAACGTTTCTGAGCAGCGAGCGAAAAGCCAGAACCTTCAAAACGCAGACCAGGGAGTTTGAGAAGGTTCATGAAAAACTTTTCATTTTTTAATGTCTGTTCGTCCAATTCAAATATTAAATCTCCTCTTTAAGTTATTTTTAAGAAACAAACTTAAGTTAAAACCTCTTTAACTCAAAAAAATTCAACTTTAATGTACTATTGTTTTAACTTGTCAAGATCAGTTAAAAGATCTTGAAATTTCAGATCACTTCCTCTGCAGACGTCACAGAGGAAGTCTGCGACGTCCTATTTCTCTCATTTTTTTCATTTTTTTATTATTACAAACCTTATTAAGTAATAATTATTGTTATAACTTATTTTATTTGACTTTTTTTAACTTGTGTCAAAAACTTCAACAGGCTGCAAAATCCTGACCTGAAATGGATAGAAACCTGTGGGATGAATTAAAGCTGCGACTGCGAGCCTCGTCATCCCACATCAGTGTCTGACCTTGTGAATGCACTTCTGGAAGACTGGTCACTCATTCACTTTCCTGGAAAACCTTCCTGGACCAACTTATAGCTTCAAAGCTTGAGCCAGCATCATCCGACCCGCTTAAAAAGTTAAAGCATGTAAGTTTTGTTTGGAGACGCCTCATATTTCTGCAAATGCTGAATAAAACACAGAAAAGTCATTTCAGTGTTTAATTATAGCTCATTCTGCTCAGATGTGTTTCTCCCTGAAAAGGCAGAGCAGCAGATATTTTAATCCTCAGACAACGCAGCGTCCCGGGGGGTTTGGTTACTATGGCACAAACTGCTTCCCCTCACAGAACGACTGATTATCTTTGCTTACTTTGTAAAAACAAAACCTACCTTTTGCTCAGAGTTTCCCTCTTCACTCTTCTGCAGGATTTCTGTTGTTTTCTCCCTTTCTACTGTTGTTTGCTCATTCTCAGCACCGGTCCAGTCCGAGTGCTGTGAAGCTGAATGATCGTCCAGCTCATCTGCTTTTTCCAAATCTCCGTTTACGAGCTCAGCAGTCTCTGTCCTCACGCTGTGGTGCGTCTCCTCCTCCGTCTCCTTGTCCTGCTCCATCTGTGCTAGCACCCCGTTAGCCGCTGGCTTCTTGGCATCCTGCGTCGCAGCCGCCGCGGACGAGAACTTCTCCTGAATCTTGCTGATGTCGGCCCTCTGGCAGACGCGCAGAGCTGAGCAGGACACCTTGCTGGTCTGTTTGAGCGCCGAGCCGTCTCTCTTGTTGTCTGCGCTGCTGAGGGAGAGAGCAAAGGCGAAGGAGGAAGTGTGTCAGAGTGCAGAAGAAGTTATAGAAGGACTTTCATTTAAATAAGACAGTGGAAGGAGCCTGCAGACGGCTGACATTTTCACAGCCAGTGTGGGGCTCGGCAGCTCCGCGAGTTCGCACGTGGGCGTCAAGAGTTAAAAATAAATCCAGAGGAGGTGCACTAACTTCTTGCTGTGGCAGAGGAAGTGCAACAGAGGTACAGTAATAAAGAGGTGTTCCCAGGAGGTACAAGCTGTCCTACTTCTACACAGGAAACCTACTTTCCTCTGAGCTCAGAAATAAATGTAGAAAAAGGTTTTTTAAAAACTTTGAGTCCAGCTGCTCCACATCCTGCAGCTGCTTCCCCGTCTGAATGAATCACCTGCAAACAGCTGCTAAAAATCTCTTCAGCTGAGCTCAGACACTTTTTAAAAACTAAAGTCTCTTTAAACTCCTTTGTGCTACATAACCTTTACCGATACAACAGTTTCTGTGTTGCAATGAGCGCTACAGCTCATAAAAACAGGAAGTGTGTAAATAGAGGAACAACAGGCAGTTGTGAGCAGTCTGCATGAATCAGTTGTGTGCTGCATGCCACCTGAGATCTACTACAGTCTGACAGGACGAACCCAGAGACGCAAAAATAAACCAGAAGTATCTGCTGGTGAAACGTGTCGAGTTAAAACATCAACTCCTCTGCTCTGTGTCTCAAACTGCGGCTGAAGCACCGAAACAAACAAAACGAGAATGAAGTTTCATTTGTAGATGTGCTAAAAGCAGGCCGACCGACCAGCTGGCCGGCCTGCAGCATGTGAATCAGATTAGGACATTAGTGGCTAATTCTGCTCTGAGAAGCGGTGGGTGTTTCCTATCTTTGTTCTGCAGCGCTGCAGCTAATCTCCCTCAGCTAGTGGAAACTGAGGTGATGAACTTCAGGAGCAGAGGAAGTCTGCTGATGTTCTTACAACCTGCAGTAAAGAGAAATTCACTCTGATGCGCATCTGAAAACTACCTACTGGCTACAAGACAGGAACAGGAGAATAAAATACAGGGTGCTCAAACTGTGGTGCATGTACCAGTGGTGGCACGCAGACTCACTGTAGTGGGCCCAACATGAGGTTTTGCTCTTTATACTAAAAGCTAATCAAATATTGGATTGGTAATTGTGGCACCACAATAAACTGATTCTTCAAGAAGATACGGTCTCACATATATTAATAATTGACATTCTTGTGGTGTAAAATCTTATTACATAAAAGTGTAGCCCAGCACTGCCCCTCCCCAGCCTGTTGCTGCACAATCCCAAAGTTTTATTACTTCCTCAGTGGCATTAAAGGCATGATTGATTATTTGGAAATCAGGGACTTTGAAGCATTAACTTTGATAAATTAATTACAGAGATTTAAAAAAAACGCGGTGGTTTCCTTTTGTTTCTGGTACGCCCGAAAATCTGACGCACAATCTGACAGCAGCGACGGATGACAAAGCCGCTTCTACCTGTTGAGTCACTTTTGCAGCAACAATTTCAGGTTTTGCCTCATAAATGGTTAAAAATAAAAACCTAAAAACAGCTTGGAGCAAAAACTGTGGATAAAACAGAAAAACGCCACCAGTTTGCCAACATTCAGATACTTAAAACAAAAACTAATAAAAATGACCCATATGAAAGGTTCTTATCATGATAAATTTAAAAAAGTCTAGACTGGTTTATGAGATCCAGTTTTCTTTTGGTTCAAAAACATCATTTTTGTCTTTCAGGTAAGTCTGCAGCTACAATTTAGCTATAATTCACCAAACTGGACGCAGCCAAACACTGAAGCACCAAAGGGTTGGAAGTGGGAACCAAACGGCCGTTCAGCAGAGCGACAGCAGCTCCTACCTTTGTCTCCTGGGTTTAATCCGGCAGCAGTGAGTCCTGCTCTCCGCCGGCTGAATGATGACCAGAGTTTCCCCTCGCCTGAACAAATCTCCTCTCATCCCCTCGCTAACGCTTCGCCTGTCACACAGACTAATCTGCTGCCGTCTGAGCTACACTCATCCAACACGCTCAGGACTTTCATCTGACGTCTTCTGCTTTTCCTTTTCTTGAAACAAACTCAGGTGTTGGGAAAGAAAAACTCTTCTGTCACTTTGATTACAACAGCAACACTGAGGGTTTATATTGCAAAAGCACCAGAGGGTCAAAAATGGAGTTAGCCAAGAAGAACCGAGCAGCATTTCTGCAGTTAGATCAGGAATCTGAGGCATTTAGGATTCAGAGACGTTTCTATCCTCATTTTAACTAAAGATGAAAACTAACAAGACCTTTGCAACCACTTTACAATGCCTCATAAATGGCTAGTAAACAGTTCATAACTGTGTTTTACTTATTATTCTGTAAACATTTTATAAAGCGTTAATTACAAAACTGTAATTAAACATCTCAGATTAATCTGTTGGCACAATGAGATGTGAAGTGAGGTTTGAGGTGATGGAGAACTAAATAAATGTGTGAAGTTTCTGATTCCAATTAGAAGATTCACATCTGTGTGGAAACCGACTGTTCAAAGCTTTCCTGGGACAAATAAGAGATTTTCCTGTTTTATTGCTGTTTTATTTATTATGAATATGTGTGACAGTAAGTAACAGTTAAAACAGGTTTTAATTTGTCTTCACTCCTGATCAAATGTTCCCTGATTGTAACTCCAGGTTTCAGTGCAGCAGCAGATTCATCCTCCAGATCAACAGCAAAACTTTGAGATTCTCAGTAAGAATTTGAGACGGTGCGTTCAGGTCACAGCGGATGAAAGGTTCATAATTTAATCGTTTGTTTCATGGTTTATATGTCACTGAGGTCACAGTCAATGTCAGCGCAGAGAAAAAGTTAATGGCACAATGTTGATCTGCTCATAAATAAATATCACATAGAACAAAAAGTCTCCCTTAGATAGATGTGGATGTTTATGATGCAGTGATGATATTTTATGATAAATCTCACTGTGAGGACAAGGAAACAACTGAGTCTGAAATGTTGATTGCAGCAACTGTTTGCCTCGTTATTGGAAAAGAACATTTTATTTGGCTCTTAATTAATGTATTATTAATGATTATAAAGTGGTTACAATTTAATTAATAACATTTCTATAAATATGTATTAGTCATTTACAAGGTGTACTTTATTAAATACCAAACATTTTATCCTATTTTTAGGTTTTAAATCAAAGAAATACTCAAATCTTTTCAGGATGGATATATTTTGATGTTTGTGGATGAGGTAAAGAAAAAAAGGAAAAGCAAATGAATAGATCAAAATGAATGTTTCTAAATATAAACCTGTATTTGTTATTTTATTTAAATAATTGAGAGGCGTTTTGCCCCCCCTGCCCCATGTTGGGACACTTCCTGTTAAAGCCCAGCGAGAGCAGAGAGTCAGTACCGGTTCTCCTCAAAGCGGCTGATCAGGTCCGACACCTTGGACGGTTTGACCCTGTCGCGCGGCGCGGCGGTCGGCTTTGCTCCTCCGTCCTCCATGATGAATCTCAGAGGGGATTTCTGGACGTTGCGCGGCGAAGGCTGCAGAGGAGACACTGGACTCAGCAGGTGGTCCGGCTTTGGCGGCACTAAAGAAACAACAGCAAAAAAACAAAACATGCCTGAGTCCTGATGGATGCATTCATGATTTCCATTGGAGGAAATATGAAGCTGCAGTTCCACTCTGAAGCTGAAGAGGGCAGCAAAATCTACCCTATGTGACAACGGGCCTTACTTCTCTGATTCTTTTCTTTGTCTTTGTTTTTTCGGCACATTTTAAATCAAATCAAATTAATTTTAATGAGACAAACATCCAATTCATTTGATTTGCAAAGCGCATTTAGAAAACAACATGTTTACCCCAAATGCTGTACATCAAGGACAGAAAATTGTTTTCATCCATGCTGCTCTTTGCAGAATCACCTGCTGCTTTTACTCATTTTTAAATAACATTTCCTCTGTTGGAGCAGAAATGTATTGTAAATAGGGTAGGATACTTCGTATACATGCACATTATATGCAGTTATTAAAACGTGATCCGACTCAGTTGTTCATCCCTTGGATCATGAGCCCAAACTGCCAATTTCTAAAAACTGCACAGAACTTCCTGTTACAGTCCTGCACAGTATTGCATTATTATTATTATTATTATTAATTTAGTTAATCTTATTTCTTTATATATTGTTTTTAACTCTTTCAGTGCTTTTTGTGTGGACCTTTATATCTGTTGCTGCTTTTCATCTCAATTTCCTCTTTTTATTTCATTCTAGATACCAAGAAAATAACTAAAATAAAAACATTAGCAGCAGAATAAGGTGAACCAAAAACACTCCAGAAATTTTAAAAAGGAAACAAAAACTAACTTGATTTTAGTTTCAGTTTGTTTAAGAGACACTTAAAAACAGCAACAAAAGATGTTTGTCTAATATTTTACTTTAAGATAATTGGAGTAAAAATGAAAGCAGTTTTCTAATGATGGTTTCTTTAATTAATAGAAAACAAATTTATCAAACCAACCTGTGTTAAGAATCAGTTGGGCTGGAGTCTGTTTGGTGCCTCGCCAGTAAAACAAACATTATTTGTTAATGTAAATTGACGATGTAGGTTTAATCTGTCCCTTGGCCAGTAGATCCATATTTTTGCAGAATGTCTGCAAAGGATGCGTTCAAAACGAAGGACAAACAATCTGTGTGTGCCGGTTTCTAAAGAGCTCAGAAACAAACCACTGTTTATGAAAACACAAAGACCAAAATTAAATCAACCAACAAACAAGGCTGAGTTGGTTTAAAGTTTTTCCCTTAATAGATTAAGTTATTTGAAAACTGATGTTTGATTTGCTCAGCATACTTTCCTGTGATATTAACATTTATTCAAGGACCAATAGCAGTGAGAACAGAAACTGTTAGCTCTGTTCACAGGTTTATAATTTGCTTTTACAGCAATGAGAAGAAGGAAGTTCTTCATTGTTATCTTTGTAGAATGATTAACTGAAGTCAAACAGAAGAGGTTCACCGGTCTCACGGTTCACTGATTGAAGGACTTATCACACAACACACTCTGGACTGTGATCCTAAATCATTCAGCATGAGTTATGGACGGCATGCCGACAGGTACCTTGTGGTTTAGACCGTAGCAGAGTCCTGCTTCCAGGTACTCTTCCATTGACCCCTCCCCTCCTCCTGTCAGCTGCCCCCCCAATTGCCCGATTCAGACACTCCTGCAGGATGGGCGAGCCGCCGCTGGTTTTCCTCGGCGAGCCGCAGCCAAGAGCTGAGGGACAAAGAATGCACATCCATCAGGACTTCCACAGACGCGACACAGACCAAAACACACAGTCATCCTGGAGGTGGCGGTGCTCCAGATGACCACACAGCACACCAGAGGAAACACTGCAGTTCATGTTACAGCAGCATGAGCTGCTCAGATGATGCTGAGGCTGAACAATATCTGCTGAGGTACTTTCATCTCCTGAAACGGGTCCAAACGGCCAGAACCACTTCATTAAAGCCTCTCTAATCGTCCTGATGTGTTAAGAAATCTTGCCTGATAGCAGCACACTTTAGCTAATGTGCTAATAGCAGAGCTAATATTTGGTTTAGCACTGTAGTGATCTTGCTACAGGCCTGGTTGTTAATGTTAATATTTCTTTTATTATTCTTATTTCTTATTGCATATTTGGCTCTTGCTCAATGAAGTTTCTTCAAAAAAAAAAGACAATGAAACAGAACAGATGTCAAAATAAAAGCATAAGCGTCAGTTATAGTAGTTAACTGAAGCTTACAGACTTTATTCAACTGAAAGTCTGCAAAACAGCCAAGTAAATTAGCACTTTAAAATTTATCCAGAAAAAATATTTAGGAGAATCCAAATGCCTTAAACTAAAAAAATAGCTCTGCTATTAGCGCATCAGCAGATTCAGGGGAAGTCAAGTTTGATTAATATGTTTCTAAATTTACCAGAAACTTTATAGCACAAAACTAAAAATGATCTCCACTATGAGCGCATTAGCAGAAGTGATCCCACTTCTGCATGGAAATACACAGCAATGAATGAATCTCCTCACTTTCTCCATGCAGATGACATTTATTCCAGAATGCATCACTGTAGAGGAAACCGTTTCAAATCTTTACATTCCTGAATGTTTTCACCTAATTTCACCTAAAAACCTCATTTATGGAGTTTGGTGAATAATGTTTGGTGCAGCTGTTCTCTTTGTCTGCAGACCAAACTTACAGATTTGGTCTTCATTATTTATTCAACTTGTCTTTAAATGTTGTAAATATTAATGAGCAACACCATAGCAGCTCTCATCTTGGCCTATTATACTTTTCTTAATTTGTAGAGAAGCTAAAGCTAAACTTTCTGTGTAAAGTTTTCTCAGAGGTTTTCTGGATTTTTCCATCTGACTCTGAAAATGAGGCATTTCTGCCTGGAGCAGTTTGGCGGGTTCTTCTGCAGGGTTTGGGGTTGTTTTGGGAGGCATTGATCCTCACAGCCTCCTCAGCCGCAGCAAACCGGCTGAACAAACCGGATCTTTTTCACCGAGCCAAGCAGGTGAACCAACTGAAAGTTTGAAAATGACAAACAAAGCTCTGAAAAACATTTACTGCTCCACTACAGCCATAGACAAGAACAAAATCAAGACTAACACCAAATATTGGCCCGATTATCCCACCAATAATCCACCTGATGGGACTTTTCCCGACCAGCTGGTCCCAGTTGGGCCAGCATGACTGTTTAGATGGAGCAACAGACACAGACGGGCAGAGTTTACTGGAGACTAAACCAACCTCACTGTGACCTCTACACACACACACACACACACACACACACACACACACACACACACACACACACACACACACACACACACACACACACACACACACACACACACTACATGTTGCTTTGTCAAGCCGACCGGCACAGAAAATGTCCTAATAAGGAGTCACGTTTCCACAAGCTCTAAATAGTTCCACACTATTAAGTTTGTTCGTTAGTTTCCATTTAAAGGGGCCACTTCGTTTAGATGCAGACAGTGTGAGTTTGGTGCTTTTATTGATGAGTAAAAAGCCTGAAAATAAATGCATCTCTTGATATAGTGCCAAATCTCAGTGAATATTTAAGAACATTGAGATGTGATTATTTTATCCTCATAAAAATCTCATCTTCTGCCCCCTACTGGCTGTTTTCCTTCTTAAATCTGAGCAGGATGCTGAAAACCTTTAATCAATAAGCTCTGACCTCCTGTTTCTACAGGACATATATATGATGTGACACAGGTTCATTTGTAAAAGAAGCAAACATATAATTCAGCCATGACAGATGTGTGTTTATCTGCATAACTCAGCTAAACAGATGGAATAAAATTACTGCAGGTTGAGACTCTTAACCACATGAGGTCAGAGCAGTAATTTCAAATTTAGTCATTGATTACTAATGAAATGCTGCAACACACACGGATTAGTTCAACAATTTAAAACACAAATTACAAAAACACCATCATTACTTTTAATTTAGGGGGTTTTCTTGTGAAGCCATCACAAGAAAACAGTCAACAAGTTGTGTGTGATTACAGGAACGGAGCTCAAATTCCTCCTGTGAACCGATCATTTTCATCCTGGACAACTGCAGGAAATGTATTCATCCTGAGACAAACCGGAGGTCCAGGAATTTGAACTTGACTATTTCAAATATTTTAGAAGAAAATTTGTTAAAAACATTAATCACCTGCAGCCACTCCACCGTGCATTGGTGGAATTGTTGCTACAGAAATAAACTGAACTGAATAAAGCAACAGTCAATTACTGCATATTCACAAAATCTGCAAAACTGAAGCGCTTCTGATGATTTCTGCATTATACATCTATGACTTTGTCTCGTGCGTAACTACACAAAGAGGTTTGTGAGACCAATAAGCATTTTCTTCCATTCTTTGTGCTTTATTTAGTGAAACTCTCACCATCTAAACACAGACCACATGAAGAGGTTCTTGTTCGCTCTACGTGTGGAGCGCCTCTCAGGATGAAGTTTGTTTACTAAAAATTGTTAGTTTGGGCCAAAATGGTGCTTAAAGCACCATATTTATTTTTCTTAACATGATCTTTATCTGGCCAGCCCTGGAGCATAAAGAGGGAGAAACAACCACAGAATCACATAGTCACAGTTTTAATTTCATCCAGTCTGCCCTAAATTAAAGGCAGTAGCTGGAGGAGCTGTCTGTCTGGAAACGATCCCACGCCGCGTTCAGCACGACCACCTTCCAAAAATAACCCATTAATTACCAACACGGCCTCGACAAATTTCTCTTGATAAGCTGGTTGGTTTCCCTCGCAGCCACATGAAGCCATCACAAGAAAACAGTCAACAAGTGTGTGTTATTACAGGAACGGAGCTCAAATTCCTCCTGTGAACCGATCGTTTTCATCCTGGACAACTGCAGGAAATGTATTCATCCTGAGACAAACCGGAGGTCCAGGAAGTCAGCTTCAGTCTGGACTGAAATAACTGCAGCTGCTCTAATCGCTGCTGCAGATAAGACCAGGGCAATACCAACCGAGACAAAGTCAAAATTAGTCAAAAATGTTTGATTGTTTTAATCCATCAACATTAAAATAATTGTTTCTCCAAACTGGAGAGTTTGGTGAAAGCTGCTGCTGCTCCTGGTCTCACACTTATTCCAGCATCTTATTAAAACCGTCTGGGAAGAGCGTCAGACCGCTGCATTCAGAAAATTACAGGCAGCCCCGCCGCCACCCGCAGAAACGCTTGATTCTCTGACAACCAGAGGAAAACAGCAGCGAAACGATCCGTTAAGAGGAGCGATCAGTCAGCAGCAGGAGCTTCAGTTGTTACAGACAGAAACTAGAGAGCAGGTTGAAAACTGGTGGAGATCCGAACCTTCACAGTCACATAAAGACAGTTACAAAGTCAGCCTTCTATAAGGGATCAGTGAACGGCTCAGAACATTAAAGACCAGTGCTGTCGTATCACCGTCCCAAACCTCTCTGGTCTTCTGGTTCTGCTCCACATCCAGAACCAGAACCAAACCTGGAGAAGCAGCTTTCAGCTTCTATGCTCCACCAAACTGGAGCAAACTTCCAGAAAATTGAAAAAAAGCTGAAACACGGAGTTGCTTTAAATCCGGCATAGACGCATAGACACTTTTTCATTTTTTTTTTTTCACATGTGGATGACATTTTCTCAAAAAAGAATATTAGCTATCACATTCATTAATAATTTCTTTGCATTCATTTTACTTTTGGAGAATCTTGAATCTCAAAAGTAAATCTTGCAGAAACTGTTTTTATTAAGTTTGTTTCTACAATTAGTTTGTTGATTTCAATAAAATTGTAATTTCCTTGAGTCTATTATTGAGCAGATTAAATAAAGGCTGTAAAAGCTTATTTTGAAACTGAGTTTGCAGCCCCCTGCAGCCGCCACCTGCAGCCGCCACCTGCAGCCCCCTGCAGCCGCCTGCAGCCGCCACCTGCAGCCCCCTGCAGCCGCCTGCAGCCCCTGCCGCCCCATGCAGCCCCTGCAGCCCCCTGCAGTTGCCTGCAGCCGCCACCTGCAGCCCCCTGCAGCCGCCTGCAGCCCCTGCCGCCCCATGCAGCCCCTGCAGCCCCATGCAGTTGCCTGCAGCCGCCACCTGCAGCCCCCTGCAGTCGCCTGCAGCCCCCTGCAGCCGCCTGCAGCCCCTGCCGCCCCATGCAGCCCCTGCAGCCCCCTGCAGTTGCCTGCAGCCGCCTGCAGCCCCATGCAGCCGCCTGCAGCCCCATGCAGCCGCCTGCAGCCCCCTGCAGCAGCTTGCAGCCGATGTTGAAGCTCTGCAGCAGACCTGGGATTTCAGCCAGCGGCTTTAGGAAATACTGACGATTAAAATCGTTGCAGCAGATGCATGAAATGTGCAGATCTCAAAGTAAACTTTAGTTTTCACACCCATTACAGCGGCCACCACCACTCTTACAAACACGTGCCTAAATACAGCACAGCGACGGTTACAGGCGACTGAAAATTTGCAGCAGTTTTCACACTGCCTGTTAAACCAGTAAAGAGGAATGCATCAGCCCAGTACAAACAACTATTTCTGCAACAAAAAATAAACAATGTCCCTAAAAGTAGAGAATTTTCCAAAGTAGAGCCTAAAATAACTCGCTGAGCCTGCAGAACCTCAGACAGCTAATGATCAAACGGATGTTTCAGAAGTTACAGTTTCACTTTTCTAACCAGCTTTAGAGAAAAATGACATTTCTGTTAATACAAATTCA